ATGGAGTGTAGGACTCACTCTACACACCTTGTCTTATTTGATTCCCTCAACAGCTCTTTGAGATGGAAACTATTATCCCCATTTTAAAGACAGAGAAAGCTGGGACACCAAGAGATTAGAAACTTGTCCAAGAGCCCTTGACCCCCACACTGTAGTGCATCCCTTTTCTTACTTTCTCTTCCAACCATGAATGCTAAATTGTTGGTATCTAAAGAATCCATTCTGTTTCTTTGGAACATTACTAAAACTGTGATTAGTCTGGGGGTGGGGTGGGCGTTGTGAAATACATTTATTCTAAGACATGTATACCTTGTCAGCAGGAAATCAGACCTGCTTTTCCATGATCTCTGTTCATCCCACTTAACAGAAGATCACAGGAAGACCACGGCCGCCAGTGGTAAGCTCATAGGTGTGTGGAGCCAGAGTGGATTTGGATTTAGTTCATTTCATTGTGTTTTTACATAAAAGGGGTGCAAGGGAGCTTGATAAGACATCCCCCTCCCATGGCAAAGTGACTCCAGAATATCAACATCCAAATCCAGATGACACAGTGAATGTGCTTGCAAGGGTTCACCATATCTGTTCCCCAAGATTTCCTGAAGATGGGGGATCTGACAGATGAGAACAGATTCCTGAAAGAGTTTGGGAGCTGTTTGGAAAAGATGAGTTAATGACTCCCTCCAAGCATGAAAAAAGTCACCACTGGTTTTCCAGTTCGGGGAAATAACTTCAGCTCACTTGTTGAGTGGATGGTGCTAAGATGGTCAAGGGACACAAGAATATCTACCAGCCAACATGGGCTCTGTCACCCTCAGCCTGAGCTACCCCTTTTCTATACCTGAGCATTCTGGATAAGCCCAACTGGATGTCTAAAAGCCCATCCATTAACATTGCTGGAAGAATAAAGCAAAGCAGGCACTTTTTATCGGAAAGCAGTTATTGTAGCTTCTCCCTAGGACTTGCCTCAGGGGAGAGGAAATAGTTACAAGGCACTTGGTGCTCCCTCTGCCATTGCTGGGGACTGGCTTGCTTTCCTGCCTCCCTGCATGCAGCCCTGTAGGCACTTGGTGTTTAAGAGGCATCCTGAACTGTCGGGACAAGGGCAATGGCTTGAGATCCAAAAGCTGGTGTCATATATTTCACTGTCAGCTATTTAAACTTTATCCGTGGCTCTGTCCTCTTTCTTAGCCCCCATACTCGGCCAACCGACTTGAATTCTAGTTCCTCCATATGGTCACCATCTCTTGCTTATATCACTGTAAAGGCTCCCTAACTGGTCTCGCTGCCTCCGTTTTGGTCCCTCCTCTCCTTTGTTTCCGCCCTGTGCCAGAAGAATCATGGTAAATGCAGCTGTGATGTTGTCTCTTCCTTGTTTAAAATTCTAAGCACGGCACACGAGGCCTTCTGTAACCTCTACCAAGCTCTCCAGCCTCATCTCCCACCATTTCTGCACTGATTCGTTTACAGTTGCCTACATACTCGTGTATCACAGGAATTCATTTTTTGATGAAAGGAAGAATCTATAGCTATTTCAACTGCTGAAAGCTAATCGAGCCCATATTGGATATGCTCCAGCTCTCTTGCTCTCTGCCAAAATGGACAGGAATGTGGATCCAGAAGAAAATCAGAATGAAGACATAGATATCACATCATCACCCTGGGACACTCCTTCATCATCTTGGAACAACAAAAGGAATCCCAAGAAGAAGGAATGTTACTGGCTAAAAAAAAAAAAAAAAAAAAATTATTCAAGATTATTAAGTATTATTAGTGCCTAAGCAGTATTTGTTTTATATTTAATTTCTAGTGTTCATCAGAACATCCAGTACAAAGTGACACTCAGTGTACTGGGTTGGTTAGTGTCCCCGAAATTCATGTTCTTCCCAGAACATCAGGACGTGACCTTATTTGGAAATAGGGTCAGATGTAGTTAATATAGTTAAGATGAGGTCATACTGGAGTAAGGTATGACCTAATATTTTTAAAAAGGAAGAAAGACACACAGGGAGGATGCCATGTGATGACAGAGGCGGAGGTTGGAGTTACATGTCTAAAAGGCAAAAAACACCAAGGATTGCTGGCAACCACCAGAAATTAGACGAGGCAAGAAAGTTTCCTCCCTGGAGCCTTCAGAGAGAGCGTGTCTTGTTGACATTTTATTTCCGACTTAGAGCCTCCAGAACTGTAAGAATAAATTACTGTTGTTTTAACCCACCTAGTGCATGGTAATCAGGTAAAGCAGCCATAGGAAAGTAGTAGCCTCAGTGATTGTCTTTTGGATTAAATAAATAAATAAATAAATATAAAATGAACAAATGGAACACATGAGGAAAATTATTTGGAGCCAACTAACATATTAGTTAGAAACCTTAGAAATATGATTTATAGGTTTATCAGCCAAAATCCACTTCTCCTGCTCCATGACCCCATAACTAGATTAGAGCTGAACATAGAGTTGGAACTCTAAATATTAGCTTTGCTATAGCCTGGCGATAATACCTCACTACAGTTGGAGAACAAAACAAAGAACCCAGAGGTTCTTTTCAAGAAATCATAAATCCTTTTGGAAATCTGATAGAACTGTGGATTCAGTTCCCAGAAATTACGCAAGTCTGGCCAACTTCCTCCTACCTCTCCAAAACCATGGACCCAAGATTAAGAGCTCCTCAATTAGAAGGCACAGGTAGAATATTTAGGATTTTTCACCAATTCTTTGGACACAACTAAATACAGAAAAGGGTAACTGAATTGTTTCTCCTCTTTAAATGAGGCCACGTCAAGCCATCATTTGAAATGGGCTTTAATCACTCATCTCAGAATGACGATGAGTAACCTGGCCCGGAAATGTAGAGACCTGGATTCCCATATCCAGCTTTGCCATTGAATTCTTTTGTTCTTTTTCTCTTCTATTCAACCTCAGCCCCAGTAAAAAATGTGGTCACTTTTAGGGTCAGAGGACAGGTTAATGAGATAATGCTGGTAAAGCACTTTGCCCCCAGAAAAAGGTTCCTATGTAAACACGAGATATTATTAGACATTATCCAACTTCAGCCCGGCCAGCAACGGCCCAGCCCGAGGTGAGTTCTCTTCCTTATCTACTGTTTGGCCAAATTGGGCTTTTTCTCGAAGGCAAAGAGTGTGGGAGGTCTCCTGTTGACTGGTGTTGGGGACTCTCTGATAAGTGGGCCCTCTCATCTCCTTTGAGCAGTGCAAACAGATCATTTGGCCACATTTGATTAAAGGCTCCCTTCTTTACTAGCAGTGACCCCAAATCTCCTTGTGCATACACGTTAAAGCAATCATGTTTAGGGAATTCCTCCTTTCCCATGTGCATAACGTCAATGTGAGTTACTCAGATTTGTTGATAGAAAAAGAAATCTTACTTCATGTTTGGTGGTTGTGATTTTTTTATTATTTCTTAGGAATGATTACATAGAATTTTCCCCTTTACTTCTGCTGTTCTTGGCCAATTTGAAAAAAAAGGGGGGAAGGGGGAAATACATTGGTTTCAGAACTTACTGAAAGTAGCAAAAAGAAAAGAGTCATTTCTACAATTACTAAATTGTAATCAAACTTAAATGCTTCAAACTAACATTCTCTGTTCTCCCCACTACCACCAGGAAAAAAAAAAAAAAGAAAAAGAAAAAGAAGAAGAAGAAAGAAAAGAAAAGAAAAGAAAAGAAAAGAAAAGAAAAGAAAAGAAAAGAAAAGAAAAGAAAAGAAAAGAAAAGAAAAGAAAAAAGAAAGGCCAAAAAAGCATGAGGGAAGGAGTTTCTTGAGTTCTATGGGAATTTGTGTGGGGTTTTTTTATTATTACTATTTCAAGGGATCTTTTTTCATCATCAGAATTGACAAGGGCAGAGAACTGAGAGACACCTAAAATGACAACAGTAATTTTCATCAACATGAAGATAACATAGAATTTTAACTCAGAGCCCTAAGAAATTTCACTACAAAGGAAAAAGAGTTCACCCACAATTACCCAGTCCTCATGCACACATACTAAAGGTACCAGACATATATTAGCCAGTGCTCACAACATTTGGTCAAATTAAGTTTCAACAAATTTCATCAGTTGTACTTTTCAACTAGCAGGGTATTTTTTTTTTTTAAGAGATTGTTAAATCCTAACTGTGTAGAGTATAAAAATCTTCTCTCCTTCTATCCTTTCACCCTTCCTATTATATACCAGACACTACTAAGTAAATGTGAATGACACATTCTATTATCTATACGGTCAGTATTTAAACCACTGGGATTGCAGATTTCACAACTTCGTGATGGACAGAGATGTACCTTGAGAAGATAAAATTGTATTTACTGTAAGAGAGAGAGGGCAGGGGGAGTGAAGAAGCAGGAGAAAGATAATTGATAAGAATGAGTGCCTTGGAGGATCTATTCCAGACAAGTTTGGAAGTTGTAGTTATAATCAACTACTATCATCCTCACCACTTTACTTCCTCCCCGTTCCTCCAGTGGATCGAACATTTAACAATTACTCAGAACCACCTTAGGTGACCCTCACCCCAACCTATGATGTCAGACCTGTGTGTTTGTACCTGAGATACACGTATTCATATCACAGGCTACATTTTGAAGGGGTGGCATTCTCCTACCTCTTTCCCTGTCTGAATGTGTCTTAGGAACATTCGCGCCTCATTAAAAAGCAGGAAGGATAAATGAAAGAGAATCCCAGTAGGTTTTTTGGGGGAGGGGACTATGCATTAACGTTATTTAAATACATATTTAACATTTACTAAAAATAAGTTGGATTGCAGGAGAAAATTAATTAGACAAAAAGCTTCTAATCAGAATTATGCTATCTGATTGTGTAATTAGACCTGGCTTTTAGGCCATCTTAACAAGCTCAGTTGAAAAGGAAGAGAGATCGTTGTTTATTGGAATGGCAATAATTTGGGTTTCTTTAATTGACTCCTGGTGTGAATACGTTGATGCCTGCTGTTCTCTAAAAGGCAGCCTGGAAAGTTTCCAGGGAAAGTTCACATTCCAGGGACAGTGCTGGAATCTACTTTCCATTGCAACCCAAGTCTGCCATTGGGGCTTGAGTCTGTTCCAGCAAAATGCCAGCTTTCAAAGGCAGCCTCAACTGGCAGCACACACCACAGCTGCACCAGGGGCCGAAAGAGGAGCCCAGCTTTGAGCTTGGCCATCAAGATAATGGAGGACACTTCCAAAATCTTACCTGCACCGTGTCCTAAAACATTGAGTTCACCAAAGGCCTTGGCTTCAGAAGCCAACAGGGAGGACTTTGAGATAGCATTGATATTCTGACATGAAGTCACCCAAAAAAAGAGCTGCAATGAAGGGGAAGTGGGGAGTGCTGGAGCTTTCTCTTCCCAGTGCTTCCAAGTGTCCAAAAGCAATTGCTTGCTAAAAATTAGTGCATTCCATGGGAATTTAATAAGGGGCAAAATGAAAATAATCCATAACCCACTTAAAAGCAGAGACATGTTTTGCAGGTCCTCACTACTCTAAGCTCTAAATTAAAAATATCTCATTTTCTTTATAGGGAGTTTAGGTAAGAAGGAAGATAGAGCCTGGGGGTCCTGAAAGAGGAAGTGAGGACTTCAAAGCATGGTTTGATCCTAAAGGCCTAACAGATGGCCAAGTCTTTACACATAATCATTGCAGCAGCCCTCCTTCTGGGAACATCCAGCATGCACACAGTAGCCATGGACTCTACCAGGTTGCTCCAACATGGACTAGCCATGATCCTTCCCCGACCTAGTCCCCCTGAACACAACTAATTGTTGTGAGGGTGGGTATCTGACCCACGCTGGGCCAAGTTGAGCTTTCCACCAGGAATTGGAACTGGAATTTGGGTGCCTGGGCTGCAAGATGTAAGTCCAGGAGCCTTGGTAGCTAGCTGATGGGCCTCAGAAATGAGAGGCAGGAAAAGCATCCTAATGCCTTTAGGTCTCTGATCATGCTTGTTCTAAGATGCAGCTCAATATCATCATAATAGTAATTAACCATTTAAAAACACACACAAATAAACTCTGTTTAAAGAAATAATTAGCATAATAAGGAAAAACTAGGAGATCTTTCTAATCTTCCTCTAGGTCTGCTTTCTTTTCCCCTCTAGACTTTCCTATGGGCACTTCCTATTGCCTGAAATATCTCTTCTCCGGAGAAAAACCAATAGTGCCAACTTCTAAAGCATAGTGGTAGCCGGGGAAAAGATGGGAAATAAAGCAAATGAAACAGTACATTGGGAATGTGTTGAGGACACCTACCTGGCACCTCCACAAGCATTGGGTGTCCATATAGGTCCTCCAAGAAGTAGACATCAAGACAGGAGAGATTTATTAGGAAAATCACATTTTCCTGTAGGGGCAATGAGGAGGGAGCCAGAACGCTCTGACCAGGGACAGGTCTGACCATGTGAAGGAGAGGGGGAAGGAAGGAAGTTGAGATGGAATTATCTTAGACTCTTGTGCAGTTCTAAAAATGTTTGGCAAGAATGCTAGGGAGTCCTTGAGCAAAAGTCACCCACCAGAGGAGTCCTATATCTGCCCTGTCTCTCAAGAACAAACCTGCCCCACCCTCACTGGTTTGGCTCAGTGGATAGAGCATTGGACTGGGGACTGAAAGGTTCCAGCTTTGATTCTGGTCAAGGGCACATGCCCAGGTTTCAGTCTCGATCCCCAGTAGGGGGTGTGCAGGAGGCAGCCTATTAATGATTCTCTTTCATCATTGATGTTTCTCTCTCTCTCTCCCTCTCCCTTCCTGAAATCAATAAAAATATATTTTTTAAAAAAAGACCAAGCCTGTGGGAAGGGCAACATCAGGGCAAACATGGGGATGGACTTCAAAATGTGCAAATGGGACCCTCAGTCAACTATGATCCTTGCAGCTAGAGATCTGAGAGGTGTTTTTTCATGACCACCACAGTAGCTGATTCTTCAGCGACTGCTTGACTGCCACCTGATCCTCTGCCCTGATTTATACAAGCGGAACTACTCTGTCCCTCTGGATTCCCACAGCATTTTCCATCCCTCTGTTAGTACTACTTCATACTTTTTATCTTGTAGTACTTTCTTGTGATACCTTCTGCCTTGTAGTGTGTGTGTTACATGCCGCACCCCCAGATACTGCTGAGCCAGTTGAGACACTATTCTGCAAGGGGCCTGGGCAGCGGGGGAGGTAGGGAGGAGGAAGAGGCTGTTGGTTTTACTTGCTCAGTCTGGGCCCTGGAATCTTGACTTGGATACTCAGCGTTTATCTCCTTTAGATATCTGCTGTACTCCTTTTCTTCCCAGGCTCTTATTTGTTCACGTCTCAACACTTCTAAAATTGGGGTGCCACTTACAACTTATGTCAGAGGAAATCTGCCCCTGCTGGCCAGAGAGTAAGTTGAGACAGAGCTGTTATCGGCTTTCCACAGAAGTCAGCGAGGCACATTTACAAGAAGTGAAGCAAATATTTATTGCTGAAGGCAGGACTGCACTTCCATGTTTTCTAGCCAAACAACAGTCAAGCACTTCAGAGAACACAGGAGGACTGCCAGACTACACATTGGGCATCGTAATTACATACAATGAAAATTGACAGCTATCTCAGGAGAAATGGCAGCGTTTCTAAAGTTAAGAGAGGTTGGTGTGATCAGCTCGTTCATTGCAAAGTCACCCTCGGGTGCCAAATATCTTGCAGAACCTTCTGGAGGACTTTTAAGAGAAACTGTTTGCCTTCCAGAGAGGGATCATTTAATTAAGGGTAGGATAAAAATGTGATTTTAACCAAACAGGAAACACAAATGACTAACAATTAGATGCCTCAGCCTACATTTAATTAATGAGAATTCTGTACCATTTTTAACATAGCGTTGGCAAAGCTCACAATTCACTCTCCCTCACCTATGGATGGCATAATTAATCAGCCACGAAACTCTTTTTTTTTTTTTGCGGGGCCAGGACTTTGCAGAATTATTCTCAATCGTGTGTTCTAAGCAGCCCCTACCAACTGGACTGGATTTAACACATAATAGGAAACCTATTTGCAATCACTATGTTATATTTTATACAGAATTATTTCCAAGGCATATACAAGAGGTTCTAATACCAGTCTCCTCTTTCTACACCCCAAAGAATTCATGAAAACTCCTAACAGTGACAACAAAGGAGCCATTTGAGGATCTACTTGGAGTCGTCCTGCAGGTTCTCCAGCTGGTGCTCCATATTACTTTGGGTCTCCCACCTAGTTACCAACCACAAAAAGTTCTGTTTTTGTTTACATGTTTATTTACTCTAGATACAGCCATTAAGTACTAAGCATCTTTTAATTGATGTATTCAAAGATTTTCTTCCTGAAAATATGCCCTACAAATGCTTGCTGTCTGTTCTGCTAACTAACAGAAATGGCAGTGTGGTAGCCCCAAGCGCTGTGGCTCAGTGATTGAGCATTGACCTATGAACCAGGAGGTCACGATTCTATCCCCAATCAGGGCACATGCCGGTTGTGGGCTCAATCCTGTGTGGGGCCTGCAGGAGGCAGCTGATCAAGGATTCCCTCTCATCATTGATGTTTTTATCTCTCTCTCCTCCCTTCCTCTCAGAAATCAATAAAGATATATTTTTTAAGGTGGCATGGTATTTTATAAATTTTAATACCAAGGGCTTTGTGGTCTTAAATTCTCTTGGTCTTAAATCAGAGGGTGCTACTCTTTGTTGGGAAGGATAAAAAATTGTTTCCTGCTTAGAATCTGATGTGTCCCCCGCATCAGAGTATCTTGCAACTTCCTGTGTCACATCATTAAGGCTACCCCAGAAAAACACCACTCAGGGGATTACTATTTAATCGTGCCATGCCCAGCATCATGTGGCTCCCTTATTTTCCCTTGCCAGGCTGTGAGCTTCCTGAGCATTATACCATTTACCTATTTCTCCCTATTATACTATCTCTTACCAAAACATCCATATAGAAGGTGCTCAGAAAAAGATTTTCTGTCTTTTTTTTTTTTTTTAAACGAATGAATGAATGAAAAAACAGACACAGAAAACTATTTGATTGAGACCCATCTTGCAAGGGCTCAAGGGAGAGAATGCTTCCATCACACTGGGCTACAATCTATTGTAACTCCCAAATTTGAGGAAGAAATAAGAGAATTTTGTTTTCATAAGTGTTACCTCCTCCTCGTCACCATTCCTAAGAACCTCTGACTTTCAAGGAATTCCTCAGCCTAAAAAATAACCAGAGAGAGCCTCCATCTGCTGCATCTGTGGTTCTCCAATGCCAGGGCCTTACTTCGAATATATTAATCAGAATCTGTGGGTGTGGGGCCCTGGCACATTTCTCCTGGCCCTCGAGAAGCATATATATATATATGCATTATTGATTTCAGAGAGGAAGGGAGAGGGAGAGAGAGAGAGAAACATCAATGATGAGAGAGAATCATTGATCAGCTGCCTCCTGCATGCCGTCCTGGGATCATGCCCACAACCCAGGCATACGCCTTTGACTAGAATCGAACCCGGGACCCTTCAGTCCACAGGCTGATATTCTATCCACTGAGCCAAACTGGCTAGGGCGAGAGGCACTGTCAACATTTTTCAGAGGAGGAAACTGAGGCTCGGAGGATAAGAATTTTCTCATTACACATCTCATAAGAAATAGAACCAGCCTGGTCCCCAGATAGTTCTCAAACGTATGTTGTTTTTGTTAAGTGCCCTCCATATTTTAACATATTTTCACATGCTGTGAGGTAGTACCACCAAGAACCCTCCTGGTGCTGAACTGTGGACAGGCTGGTAGATCACACAGAGAGCTGTTCACACACGCGCCCCACACAGGAGAGCCCTTCGCTTCCCCAGCAGAGCTGAACCCTCACTGTGCTGAATTGTCAACTGTCCCGCTCCATTTCAACACTCTGACCAGGATGGTTGTGGGGTTCTTTTTGTTTGTTTGTTTTTTCTTGTGTTTGTTTGTTTGTGTGTTTGTTTGTTTGTTTGTTTTTTGAGGAACCAGAAGGTTAGGGCAGCATAAATATTAGGGTGGATGGCCAGGACACAAGTCAACATCTTTTCTACATATTACTGTGAATTCTGAATACTTTTAGTTCCTGAATGATGCTATCTGTTTAGATTTCGGTGAGTACACATGCATAGGACAAAATTTGACTTGAGAAAAAGATAAAATGGAGGAAATAGGTCGATAGAGTGAACCAGAAGGGAGAACCGCTTTCACAACAGAACAGATTGATTCCCTAGACCAGTGGTTGGCAAACTGCAACTCAGAGCCACATGTGGCTCTTTGGCCACTTGAGTGTGGCTCTTCCACAAAATACCACGGCCTGGGTGAGTCTATTTTGAACAAGTGGCGTTAGAAGAAGTTTAAGTTTAAAAAATTTGGCTCTCAAACAAAATTTCAATAGTTGTGCTGTTGGTATTTGGCCCTGTTGACTAAAGAGTTTGCCGACCACTGGCCTAGACAAACAAGAAAACTCAAAGGGATT